TAATCGTTCCTACTCCTTTAAAGCCCATAAAATACACTTTTCGTACTTATTTTTNTTACCCCCCCCCCCCCCCCCCCCTTCTCTCAACGCCATATTTCTCCATGGTTATCTCTCAACGCCATATTTCTGCTCCACACAACAGTGATCTCTCGAATCAATTTCTTAGTTCTCAAATTGTGCAACCCATCAATTTCTTGCTCAGCCCTGTTAATAGCAACCCATCATTCTGAATCAATTTCTTAGTTCTCAAATTGTGCAATAAGAATTTGGGTCGTGTTTTATTTGTAACACCGGCAACCAAACAATGTTTTCCTTGATTTCGTGGTTAATAGCAAGCGGAAGAAAACGTAAGGTCGCGCGTAAGCACTCCTGCAAGAAAACCCGTCCTCACACTCTCCACAATCTCCATTGGGTCGTGTTTTCACTACCAGCTTCCGGTGAACGGCGGATGCGCCGGAAATTAGGGTTTGTTCTTCAACAAAGACGACGGAGTTTGGGGCTGAGCAACTTGATTTTCTGTTAATATATTTCAATGTATTTTCATGTATTTCATTGTATTCATTGTCTTTTTTTTTCATTGTAATTCAATGTATCTCGTTGTATTCCATGTATTTTATTGTATTCACTGTCTTTTTTTTCATTGTATTTCAATGTATCCCGCTGTATTATATGTATTTCATTATATTCACTGTCTCGCTATATGCCATAAATGTATTCATATGTTTTTTTTAATTAATATAATTTATGTATTCAGATGTATTATATAATTTCTCTGAAGATTGCTATGTTTTTGGGGTATTTTTCGGTTGAGAATTTTTTTTATAACTGAAAATATAAAATTTGTGTGTTATAATTGAGTTTGTTGAGTTATATTAGGAGTCTACTATGTTAATTGATTCACTTTCCGTTTTAAAAATAATGTAATCTCCTATTTCACGCCGTGTATACAGTCGAATACAATTGAATACAATAATCTGTACAGCTGTAATCCGATGTTTCACTCCATGAATACAATCGAATACAGTCGAATACAACAACTGATTAGCTGGACTTCCCTGATTCACGCCTTTTTTTGCTACTGTATTCATGAGTACAATAGCTTAAATACATCAAATACATCTTATAACCACACAAAAGGTATCTATAATCCGTAATATAGCAAATGGTATCTATAGATAGCTAATTGCTACCAAAAGATGAAGCTTATGAAAATTATTCGTCTTTACGCCACATTATGATCCGGTTTGATTGCAGCAGCCCACAAGACGGCTGGCTATCGATCTTTTTTTTAATTATCATTCATAAATATGTAAGAGTAGGTCAAATTACACAAATTATTGAAATGACAAGTGAGACTCTTAAAATCTAAATTAGGAGTATAGTAACTCCCTTTATTGTATTTGTTCTACAAGACGGCCGGTATACCGGTGTTTAAATCAAGCACCTTTTACAAGGAGTAATAGAAAAAGAAAAGAACAAAAGATCTCGTATCGTAATTCCCTTTATTGTATTTGCCAAATCTTATCTTTTAACCACGAGACATGGATAACCAAAAAGAAGAAGAAAAACCAACTCCCGTTGTATTTTTCATCTATTAAAGAAGAATTAACCTAAATAGTCGTCCATTCAATCACTTAAACTAAAAATAGCAATTGGATATATAATATATATATAATTTATGTATTATATGTGTATAGTTATATATAATCAATGTATATGACTAGAAAAAGTAACAAATGAATATGACTGGCTATTTGTGAAACTCCAATCACATTTTTGAACCAAAAGGTGCTCCAACTTGAACAACATTTAGATCCTAACACCAATCACATTTTTGAACCAAAAGGTGCTCCAACTTGAACAACATTTAGATCCTAACACCAATCACATTTTTGAACCAAAAGGTGCTCCAACTTGAACAACATTTAGAGCCCGTTAGGATGGACTTATTTTAAGTGACTTTTAAGCATAAACCATAAGTTAGGAATTCTAGTTTTTTTTTTTTTTTTTTCATTTTAGCTTAAAAACAAGTGCTTAAAAGCATTTTTTACTTTATCCAAACACTACAAAATGACTCAAAAGCAATTTTGGCTTAAAAACACTTAAAATAAGTCAATCCAAACGGACTCTTATCTAATTGTCTAAGACAATTTCAAAGCTAATATATTTGGCTTATTGCACATGCTTTCTACCAGCAAACGAACGTTCCCCTGTACTTCCAGACACTTTGCGCTGTTTGCCTTACTGTCCGACCACGGAGAAGGCTACTAGTGAAAGTATAGTCACTAAACCATTTTAAAACTGCATTAGGTCTTGAAGCAGCATGTTACATTTGGATCGAGGGCCAATTGTCCATAAGCCAACCATACATGCAACCAACAGGAGGACAAGGTTTCCACACCATCCCAAAAGACTCTAAAAGGGCACAACATATGACAATGAACAAATGATTTACAAATATTTTTATACTGGGGATCATAAGCTTCTAATATTGTAAGTATAATTGGCAAAAATAAGTACAATCAAGAATCAAACAATGTACAGAAGAAGGAAATCGTGTTAGCGCAATGCCAAAGCCCTATCCAACAAATAAAAAAATCAGCATCACCACCAATTTTTCACATCCAAACTGACAAAGAATTGCAGGCAGGAGCATCAAAAGGAATCAGAGCAAAACAAGCAACTCAGTAGAGCTTTATTCGGGTTTGAATTGAACTTCGACATATAGGGCAATTTTCAAGCGCTCTCCCGCACTCGCAACATGTCTGCATCAAAGAACACCAAATTGTTAACTCATAAAAGGCTTAATCTCCCAAACACATCTGGTTACTTTTACAGTAAGGAGAAAGGAAAGTTGTTTACCTGATGCCCACAGCCAAAGGCCATGTCTTTTGGGTTAGTAAGGCAAATGGGGCAAACCTGCACAACGAAGAAACACATTCATTTCAGACAACTTACACTGTTTCATTAGTCATAATAATAATTTGTAAATGCAGCAAAAAAATGCAGCAGTATAAAGCAAATGCATACCTGATTGTCGTATGTAGAGGAGGTGGTAGCAGATGGAGCAATGTAGGGAGAGCTGGGAGCAGATGGAGCAGTGTCAACTGAGCGAGTGTGATCATAATACGAACTTGGAGTCTGCTGAAAATGCGGAGGTGCATCAGCAGGCTTTCCATAACCGTAATAAGGGCTTGTGGGCTGCTGAAAACTCGCTGCACGGGAGGTCTTCGGACCACCGACAGATGTTGCCCCATACATAGGAGGGGGAAGAGCTACCCTACCAGGAGATGTTCCACTTTGTCCACTGCAATTAAGCAATTAGAAGATGTCATCACCTATAACTTGACAGGAGAAGTGTGGAGAAATGTATAGCAGAATGAAAACAAACAAATAGATGAATAAATAAGCAGAGCGAGATCTGACCCCAGTAAGTTAAGCATCATGGTTGCTTTATATTGTGTAGGGATTTCCATCAATGCTGAAAGAGCAAACTCAGTCTCCTTTCGAGTTTGAGATACATTTTTGGCCATGATCTCCGTGAAATTGACAAACTAATAGGAAAAAATCGCAATTAAGAAACATCAAAGGAAAATGTTCTAGAAAAGAATATATGCCACAATCTAGACCACCACCACCAACCTGGAAATTATCAAAATCCCGAGCAGGAATATTATCATCAAATTCCTTCATCATATCCCAAGGTCCATCGCCAACCCCAACCAGTATAATTGACAAGGGAAACTTGCTGCATGAAATAAGACAATGCACTCCGCCAATTGAGTATAAGAATGAAAAGGCAGCAGCAAGTAACATAACCAAAAAAAATTACTAGCACACACCAAAAAAAAAAAAAAAAAAAAAAAAAAAGCGAAAGGAAATTAGTAACAAGGACCTTGCTAGTACGATTGCATCAACTGTTTTCTGCTCCTGTGGACTTAATTGCCCATGTCCAGTATCAACACTTCTAGTTACCTAGGGAGATAGAGAACATAATGCAAAGATTTAATATACACTTAAAATACAAAAATATGACAACCAACAAGGACATCTAACTCACTCACTCACTATACAACTAAAGCTAAGCTATTTGTCAGTGTGCTATTTTTCTTGCTCTTGTCTTTGTATTTGCATAATATTGATAAAGACAATACCTGCCCATCTGCAATGATTACTAGAACATGGTACTGTCCACCACTCTGCTCAACTATTGTCATGGCCATTTCAATGACCGGGGCAAATGATGTTGGTCCTGTAACAATATGAGAAGGTGCCTAAATAAACCCAATAAATTACCGTGTCTAAAGCTGGTGTACAATTGTCTCTAGTAGAGTATATACCTGCAAGCTTTAGCTCGGGGACAATTTCTCTGTAACGAGACAGAACTTCCTCAAAACCATTACAAAATCTTTCATCGGGAAAGAAACTGAATACATCTTGATCATGAGTTGACGCTGTAAGAAGTTATCCACATGGAACAAAAAATTAATCTTGTGAGAAAATCCCACAAAAAGAAAGTTTTATGGGTAAAAAAAAAGAAGAAGAGGATTTTAGAATACCATCTCCGAATCCAAAACACGGAATTAAGTTATCCTCATCAAATGCGGCCAAGGTCTTTCCAATTATAGAAATTGCTTGCTCATATGGGTTCAAATTCTGCCCGATGTGATGCAGGCTTCGACCACCAAAAGACCTCTTACCTAAAAAAGAGCACAGACCCACTTCAGTATATTCAATTGTAAAATAAAATATCGCATACAGCTAACCAGAGAGGCAGCAGCAGAGGGAAGAGTCAGAGCTTAACCTGTCCATTCATTGCTCTTGGTGAAATCAATACCCACAATTAGATTTGAAGACTCCAAGCCCTCTCGTGCAAGGGCTTCAGTCACCTGATTACAGAACAATGTCATATTTTGATCATGTGTAAGAGGTGAAGAGCATAGGCGAAAGTACTTAAAACAGGAGCCATCAAAATTAGGATCCAATATTTACATCTGTAAGGCTAAAAATTACATGTTAAAAGGAAGTATGGAAGATAAAGAGAAAGTATTGCACCCCCAAATGAAACCTTATGTTACACCTAAAAGAGTGCATAGGAGACGGGGTTCGATGCTTTTTGTCACTATTCAACACATCTACCCAATTGTTGTCTGAGTGTCGTCAAAGGAGGCATGAATACATAAAACTCTCCCACTTGGTAAATATTTGCAAGTCCAGGGCTCATCTGTCAGCTTGTGACACTGAAACCTTTCAACTAATAAATTTAGTCAAAGTTATCCTAACTTATGAAGGAAAAAACTTTTTATCTCTTTCTACAAGAGAAAGAGTGAGTGCACTGACAGGAATCTCTCAACTCAACTAATCCAATATTGACATTCAGCAAAGATGTAAAACCATTTCTAGTTGTATCTCTTTCAGATTGTTTTTCCCTCACTTTACCATGTACCAATCTCTCTCTTCACCTTATAGTACCAACTGAATCCATCTCCTTAGGATTAATTTGACACTACCGAAAAAGGCACTATCCTCTAAATTTGGTTCATTCTAATTCATTTATCATTCCCATTTTCCTACAACATTCACAATGTGTCAAGTTTCCAACTTTCTGGAATATGGATAAGTCATGTTCCACTAAATTCAATGATCATTCCAACTTCCCTACAACATTCATAACGTGTCAATTGTTTCCAGCTTTCTAAACTGTGGATAAGACATGTTCCACTAAAGACTGAGACTAGTGAAAGTACTGCTAATCTTTTTGGACTTCTTTCTTCCTGCCTGTATTTCTAGACTTTGGCGTGCCAGAGATCCTCATTTGGGAACATCCAGAGACATTGAGATCCCTCGGGTTGATTTAGAAAAGCGACACATTTAAAGATTGATGCTTCAAACTAGTTAAGGGCAAAAGCCTTCAGGAGGCAACTTCCCCAGATAAGGCCGAACAGAATTTTAGTTCTTATCTAGGCAAATCTCTGAAAGGGTAAATAAGAATCAACAAGCATAGTTCTAGATATTTGCAAGATAACACAGAATAGGCAACACAGTTTTGGCAGGCTGGAGGATGCAGTTACGAAAAGCAACTTCAAACCACTTATAGTGTCATACTCTGTCTTGCTACCCCGTGATTTTTGACAAATGACAACCAATACGGTTCATGTTACTGAAAATCTTCAAAAGTCCCGAGGCTTACTCCTATTTTATGTGATTCTGACGCTACAGTCAGAACTAAACACCAATAGATTCACGCCAAACATGAAAGGAAAGCTTATCAGAGGTCATCTTCTTTTTTCGCCACTGCAGTTATCTAGTCCATCATTCTCACCCTTTTACCTTCTATTTTCAGCTGTAGTCTTACTTAAGCATTTGATGACAAAACCGCTTTTAAAAAGTTTAAGTGCTAGCATACACGTACAAGGAATAGGATAAGAAAGACTCCATGTACCTAGAGGGGGACGCAAGAGAACTTTATGGGATCGAGTTTAGGATTCTACCACAACTCATTTGATTTAATGGGTTCGACATCAATTATTTGTACTAAATTAGTGAATACACCCAAGGGTATGGTCGGGTGGTCAATTGAGTAGGTTGAGACCATGAGGTCCTAAAGTTGAAATTGCACCGAAGGAAGAAACACCAGGTGATTTCTTCTCATCCATCCAAACCTTGGCAGGTAGAGTTACTTAGCAGCTGCGTTGATCTGGAAACCATGGTCATCAAAAAAACTTACACATATATAGGCGCCAACAACAACAACAAACTCAGTGTTCCTAAAGTGCTAATTTCACAAACCACAAGGTTAATACTAGTAAAGCCCAACGGGTAGGCAGCAGACAAATACATGTAACAAAAGGTAAGAGTAATTCTAATTCATACATACCTCATCCAGGGAAGAATAATTGTCGGCAATTCTGGAGTATCTCCGATCAAGTCTAGGTTTTGGAACATGAGAAGGATAATTCTGTTGTTGGGGTGGTGGAGGAGGATAATTCTGTTGGGGTGGTGGAGGTGCATAGGAAGGAACAGCCTGCTGCTGCTGGTGGGATGGTGGGTAGTTGTAACTATCTTGCTGTGGATAAGATGATTGAGTTTGAGGATAATTATATTGATTCCAAGAAGATCGAGTTGATGAAGTTTGCCTCCAACTATCCTCTCTTGAACTCTTTCCACCCATCAATCAAAAAAGTCAACTATCTAAACAAAATCTCAAATACTGCAACCAAAGAGTCCTTATCAAAATCAATCAGAACACAAAAGGATCTCTTATCTTCTATCTATCAAAATCACAGAAACAAGAAAAAAAAAAAGGGGGGGGGGGGGTT